GCTGTGCATGGGTGCAAATGGCCAGAGACCTATACTGGTCAAAGCACCCTAAAATAGCATTTACTTTTACTTTGCATCTGAACGGTGTATTTGGGACAGTAAACGCAATTGGATAAAGTTAATTGAGAGGGTTAAAACAAGTCTGGTGTCTTTCACCAAGGCCTTTTTTGTCCAAGTTGTATCCAGCTGAAGACATTTTGATTAAAAAGTATGTATTTTTAACATATTCCTATTTGTAAAAAAAAATACACCATTCTTAGACTCTCAGAATAATGTTTAATTTAATACAGTTAAACTGACAGTTATTTTTTTTTTACTTCTTCTTGGACACACCAACAGTTCTTCCTCTTCTTCCTGTAGTCTTTGTATGCTGACCTCTCACACGCAGACTGAAAATAGAAAACAAACATTGTTGATTTCCATAACCCAAGAACCGACTGTAAATATTACTTGCATTGGTATCAGACACTCGCCCCTCTGTACAATGAAAGAATTTCTTTACAGAACTACTGGTGATTTTAGTGAACTTTCATTCAATTGGGCATTATGTCTATCAAAATATCCACAGGAGAAAAACAAATTTTACTATGATCAGATCAGATTATAAAACGTCATTGATAGAGCAACAATATGTAAAATATGCCACACAGATTTGTGTAGCTGCAATATTCCTACCCTGCCTAAACAGTTTTATGCAAAATGTTGCAAGATAATGCAATAAGAGATAATATAAAAGGGGTATGCGACAATGTGCACAAAAATTGAAGCAAAATGGCATCTAACACTGAATGAAGTCAAACTTTTACAGAAACTATCAGTAGTCAATTCTGTTCTTTGGATTTACTGCGTTAAATTCATGTTTATTGGTGTTAGCTTCAGAAGTGCAGGTGATTACATATTTAACACTTTTCATGCAGTGTTCTCCCCAGGATGTAAACAGCGTGGCGGTCCCGCCAGTGCTTCGATTTGCCGCCACACCGGTCTGACACCGCCACAGTGCTTTTTTCATTGGGGATCTCGTCACGCTGGTCGGCCCGACTGGCACTCAAAATTAGCGACCACCACGGAAACGCGTCCGACTATTGTCATATTGTTATTATACTTACGTACCGACCGACAAGCAACCTGCCAGTCGTGGATAATAATTTGTAAACAATAGACATAGTCGTGCGATGTGGTATCGGCTTTAAACAATACAAGTCAATTTTGTAAAATTAGCACCTCTTTGTAAGTAAATATTTTCTGACAATAGATGCAGTCTTTAGATTGATAGCTAAAATTCATTCAAAATCAATTCCACCCCGATGTAACATGGGCAAAGCGGAGTTCACGATCAGTTTACGCTACTCAAGATAAAAAAAAACCTGTTTATTGCGTGATTGGGTAAAATACATTTGAACTGTTATCATCGTGAATCATGTAAAAATTCTTCTTTCAAGACTTCTTTTACCTTTCAAAAATTGCTAATCACCTTTTTCGAAAACCATCATGCAGTTTTCATCTGAAATCCATACCAACACATCGTGCTACGACATCGCTTTACTTCCGCAATGTAATTTTTTATGATCACGATCATTCGGAAAACTTCGGGTTCTACCGGCATTACCATGCGGCATTCTGATTGGTTAATGGGTTTTTGACCCACCGGGTCAAAGGACACATGCTGTAAACTAACGCGTCACAGCTATCATGGCGGGTCTGTGTTTTTCACGAATTGATCGAGTGATCAACAATAATTTCTCTCGATAAAACTAGTTCAAATTTTACGTTTTTTTCATATAAAAAAAGAAGTATTTAATTTTTGCATGGCATCATGACTGAGTAAGAGAAATTATTGGTATAACCGGTGTATAACATCGCGAAGTAAGTTATGTCACGTCGTAACGTCGGAAGTGTTATTTCTTCGTTCATTTACTGTAAATGTAAACATTGTAGAAGCTGATGGTCGGAATAATAACCAGCAATCCGCCAAATAATTACGTGGTCATGAAAGTCTTGAACATAATCCTGGCTGGAACGTTTCAGTTGAGTTTCATTTAACCTTTTACAATTTATTTGTCTGCAGCATTTGCATATCGAGAATGTTTCATTTTTAAATTCAAACTAAGTTGTGAAACGTAATTTTTTGACTCAAAAAAAAAAATATTTGCACTGTGACGGAGCTCATTAATATTACAAAAGTGTCCAAAATAAAAGTGTTTATAACACTGTGTGAAGCAAATAAATATCTACCACTTTGTTTTTGAAAATATATGTTGTTTATTGTGTGGGTGTAAATGTGCTTTGGTCAATTTCTATTATTATGTAAATGATATGCAAATTAGGCCGCCACAGTGGTTTAAATTCCTGGGGAGAACACTGTCATGTAAGCAGTAAAACTAGTACAGCCGTTATCAAATCGCTTACTGAATGCCTCCATGGATAGCCAAAATGAATGGTAAAAATGTAATTTAAAATCAATGATTTTTACGTCTGTAGCCTATTCATGTGCAGTTTTGTAACAAAGCTTCCCTGGACTGAAACTGTCTAAAACGTGTACTGATTTGCAACTGGCAAAGTGCTGAAATAAAACCAAAAATCTAATTAAATTTTGTAAATTTGTATTTGTTGCATAGCTGTGAAAAAAAGCGATTTTCGTCACCCACCCCCAACAAAAGCTAAGCCACTTAATTTTTATTTCTATGTAACATCACATGCCCACATGGGAGACTGATTGGCAAATGCTTGACATAAACTGCATCATGTATACATACCCCCAGTAATGACGAAGACCTCTGTGTGCTCGGATTTTCTTCATCCTCTCCAAGTCTTCACGAAGTTTATTGTCCAAGTTATTCGCTAACACTTGGCTGTATTTGCCATCTTTAACATCCTTCTGTCTGTTTAAGAACCAGTCTGGAATTTTGTATTGTCTTGGGTTTGACATGATTGTAATCAGTTTCTCAACCTGTATGGCAGAAATTTTAAATTTATTCAAAAAATATGTGTACAGTCTCAAGACCCTTCCTTGCGCATAAACATGTTCATTCAAATAACTTCAGCTATTTTATGATGACATAACACTCAACAAATTATGCCACCTAATTAGTTTGCAAATTTTGAGTCATTTTGCTATGTACACTAAAAAATAAACTTTCACACGTTTTAAAAGCTAAAATAAGACTGAAAGTTTTAACAGCTTATGATAACAAATGAAATGCATTTTACTTATTAGCACAATAAATATGCAAGTCTTTTTTACACAACACAAACTCTGCCACATTTGTTAATGTTTTTTTTTGACCATTAATATTGCAAATTGATGGACAAAATCATATGCACCATGTATGCCATCTAATGTTTTTTATAATCAATGACATACATTATTGTAAAGTGATTTAACAAATATTCACAATTTTGCCAGTCAGTAGTACTACATCACTGAGCTATCTTTGAAGGTAAGTTTAATAATAGAAAATACTGCGAGTGAACAGAAGACTTCTGCAACTGTTCA